CAGCAGGTTGACAACAGCTTGATTGATTACACGAACCAAGATTGTTGCACAGCAGCAAGCAAGTTGAGAAGTGGCATAATCCTCATCATGTACCACGCCAGCAGGGCCATTGGAACCTGGGGTCTTAGGTGCCTTGAGCCCCCCCCCCCCCACCTCATCCCCCCTTCCCCAAATCCTCTTAGGGAGACATATGTTAAAGCTATCTTTATACGTTTGTGTTTACACATACCATATTTTTTTCAAATGCATTACATTTAATCGTAATTCAGCAACTTATTATAAAAAATAATGTCCACAGATAAAACTGGCTGTCACCCAAAAATAACAATAAATGGTGAAGAAATTGAAACTGTCACAAACTTTGAATATCTAGGCTCTATAATAAATAGCAATGGAGACTGACAGAAATCAAAAGGAGGATGGCCATAGCAATGCAAAAATTAAACAGCCTAAAAAGTCTATGGTTAAACACCAGCAAGAAGATCAAAATTAGAATTTTAAGAGCATGCATCTTCCCTGTAGCAACATACGGATGTGAGTCGTGGACTATCTCTCAGTCCTTAAGAAAGAGAAGAGGGGCTTTTCAGCTAAAATACTATAGAAAGATTATCTGAATGTCTTGGACGAAAAAGAGGAGAAATACTGACATCTTGAAAGATCTGAACGTCAAGGAAGATTTGCTAATAAACAGCATCCTGTCTCTGAAGCTATAATATTTTGGTCATATCAAGCGCCATGACGGATTGGAAAAAAATGTATAGCAAAAGGAATGGTACCAGGAAGGAGGGGCAGGTGCCCCAACACGAAGATAAACAGGATATAAGAGACTTCTTGAGTATGAAAGTGCATGAGGCGGGAGAGCTGGCAAGATACCGAGTTTCTTTCAGGCAGACCATTATAAGAGCGACGTTCTGCAAAGGACCTGCTTCATGATGATGACTATTATTAAGAATCTAAGCAAGGCTTACACAACTCCCCTTGACTCCAACCTCCCATTACTCCTTTAGAAAAATCTGCAGGACTGCCACCAGCCTCTTGCTGTTTTCTTTGTGTCGTTTTGAGAGAGAGAGAGAGAGAGAGAGAGAGAGAGAGAGAGAGAGAGAGAGAGAGAGTACACATAATCATTAGTACTAATTTGGGTTTCATCAAGAAATTCGAATATTTAGTTACACGTAGGCGCACAGAATGAAACGTTGCCTCTAAAGGAAAACAAATACAAGAATATAGTAAACAATAACTACATCTGCGCAGCTTGAAAGTAATATCTTGCGCAATGAACACTTCCATTACAAGTTACAAAATGAAATCGTCCGCGTCACAGGGAGTCAATTTTAGAATGGATATGTGAACAGTGGACAAACACATTACTTTCTGTCATCAGATAAGTGATTCCCTGTGTTGGGGATATGAAGACGCATGACTGCCCTCATCAGATGGCAAGACATTTGATGCGTTAAAAAAAACTAAATGAAAGTAAATAGCTGGACACAATAAACAGATTTCAGGAATTTCGGAAATTAAAACAAATATAAGATAATGTATTGATACAAATGGCATTAATGCTGGAGTTGAATACTGGTCAGAGACAGAAGGAGGAATGCTGGTGAAAATACAGGACAGAGAAAGATGGAGCTGAATACTGGGAAAATATGAGACAGAGAAAGATAGAGCTAAATACTGGTGAGAGACAGAAGAAGGAATGCTGGTGAAAATACAGGACAAAGAAAGATGGAGCTGAATACTGGGAAAATATGAGACAGAGAAAGATAGAGCTAAATACTGGTGAGAGACAGAAGAAGGAATGCTGGTGAAAATACAGGACAGAGAAAGATGGAACTGAATACTGGGAAAATATGAGACAGAGAAAGATAGAGCTAAATACTGGTGAAAGACAGAAAGACAGAGGAACACTGGAGAAAATAGGCAGAGAAAGATGGAGCTGAATACCGGTGAAAGACAGGCGGATAGATAGAGGAACACTGAGGAAAATATGATCAGAGAAAGATAGAGCTAAATACTGGTGAAAGACAGGAACACTGGGGAAAATAGGAGACAGAGAAAGATGGAGCTGAATACTGGTGAAAGACAGGAACACTGGGGAAAATAGGAGACAGAGAAAGATGGAGCTGAATACTGGTGAAAGACAGACAGACAGATAGAGGAACACTAGGGAAAATATGAGACACAGAAAGATGGAGCTGAATACTGGTGAAAGACAGACAGACCGATAGAGGAACATTGGGGAAAATATGAGACAGAGAAAGGTGGAGCTGAATACTGGTGAAAGACAGACAGAACTACAGACAGTAGAATACTGGTGAAAATATGAGCTTTCCTATTCAAGAAATGAATTAGGACCAACGGAAAACTATGACTATGAAGCTCAGCCAAGAGGAGCGGGAAAGACGCAAACAGATAAAAGCGAATGTCTTTATCGAAAAAGAAAACAATAAGAGTCCTAAGCCACAACTCTAAACAAGAGAGACTTACCAGGACATAATGGAACGAAAATGATACAGCAACTACAGCGATTCCTATTTTCCAACACTATTTTACTGGTAGAATTTACAGGTGACAACTGGCAAGACTGATGAAAACAAAATCAGATAAAGGCGAAGAGATAACAAACACCTGGATGGTTTGACCACGCAGATGGGCAAACCAACAATGAAATGACCCTCCATTCTGGTTATATTATGATTTAGCGGAACAAGATAGCCTACGTTTATCAGCAGGGTACATGATGATCTTAGTTCGTTCAGAGTAGTCAAAACAAAAGTAAAGTATGTTGACATCTTTTTTTTTTTTTTTTTGCGTTCGCTCTTAAAAAGATACTTTACCTGATGTGTAAGCTAGTTTAAGCTAGGCCGCGATATCTGTGCCTTTCGACCCAACATATCCAATTTCAGCAAACACATAATTAGTCAGCTCCTAGGCCAGGTCTATTCAACTGGCGGCCGCAGGCTAGATCTGGCTTGCAGAGGCATACCTAGCAAGTGGCCAGCGAATCTTTATAAGCTGTACCGCGACCGGCTCCAGCTGACTGACTGTGCTACTGACGTCACCGGGTCGGGCTAATGATGCATTAACTCAGCGGTTCACAAACAAGAAATACACTTTTTTCGACAGTGGCGAGGGAAGTCAACTTACATTTTTAACTTTTAAATATCTACATGACTACTTTAATAATTTCACAATTTGTAGCCGACTTTTCTTGATTATTGCCGCGACACCCCTGACATATGCTCACGGCACCTCTGGGTGCCTGGGTACCTAGTTTTAGAACCGTTGCTGGATCCATTTTCAACATTTTGGCCCCTAGGTAAACTTAGTTGAATAGCCCTGTTCCAGGTCATACCTGTTAGGGAGGCCGTGGGTCTATTTAAGTAATATCATTTCATACAGGAACCCACACGGGAAGTACTGACCGAACCAAAACAACAGTATTCAGTTGCTATTCTTTCAAGTCGAAACCACGTATAAAACAATGGAATCTATTTGAGCTAATGACATAACAAGTCACTCCTAAAAGGTCATTTGTCCGACGCAGGATTCGTTGTAACGATCCAATAACAGCTACCACGCCCGTCAACATGGGTAATTGCACCGTGGATTTACTTGCTGCTGTTAACGATGTAGCCAGATTCTGCTCCTGTCCAATTTCACATACAGAAAAAAAAAGTAAAAGTACAGGACCCTTTTGTACGCCTTTCAGGCATATTGGGTACATGTGACTAGATGCATATTTTATAGACCTACGGCACTTGGTGGGTGATGTGGTCAGCATCACGCCGGCCGCCTCTACTTCCCAGGACTATACTTGGTATCCGCTCATGGCTAGGTCGAACTGGGAGCCAAAGTAATTTTTGAAAAAAGTTCGGCCCGGTGTATATGGTATTCCACGAAAATAACCCAGGTCATAAATTAATTTCTTCTTAAAAAATGCATTGTGACTTATTTTCCTGGGTGTCTTATCTTTTATTTGGATACAAATATCTACATTTATTTATGCATAAAAGTCTACATTGTTTTAAATATAGTCATGTTATCTTCTGAAACTCCACATCCGTTTATTACCAATCATGAGAATGATTTTTGTTTATCAATAACCCGATAGGGAAATCAAAACCTAGCACTCAAGAATCATGAAAATGTTGAACACCTGAACACATTCACTAACCTCCATGCTACAGAGCCGACCATCTTACCACTGCTAGGGACCGAACCTGGATTACTCTCTCTCTCTCTCTAGGTTAGTACACTGCTACTAAGCAATATGATTGACTGCAGAAATAAACAGCTTAAAGAAAGATCAACAAATTTATTCTTCTTCTTAGCATTCACTGGCTGTAAACTCTGGCAGAAAGTTCTGGTTGTTCACCCATTTCTGAACCTTAGTTTTGTTCCAGAACTTCAGTTTGCGTGTATATCTGTTATACAGATCTGGTTTATTCATATGTGGACTGCTGTTCCCTTGCTTCTCAGGCAGAAACACTCCCAATTTGAAGGAAATTGCACTAATTAGTCACCTTGTAGGACATGCTAGGGAAGCAGAGGGTCTATTCTTTTTCCCCCAGAATGGGACCCTAAAACCCACATAGCCAGATGGAGATTTCTTCTTTCATTCACCTGAAATAAGTTGCCTGTATCAGCAATTTTGTCTCTCGTATAAATTTCACTCGTTCTTAGTTGGTTCAGTGGTCCACAGAGTTTACGTTCCACTGTTGTTCTTTCTGACCAACAGGTTGTTTGCCTTAGTGTGTCAAATTCGGTGCAGTCCTGCAGTACATGTTCTGCTGTCAGGGCCCTTTTTTCACAGGTGCACATGGCTGATACGCCCATCTTGACTTTTGTGTACATGTGGGAAGATGGATACAATTTGTTTAAAGTTAAGTATAATTTTTAATCATTTTTTAAGCATGATGTGATAAGAGTAACACTACGCAAAGGACTTGCCACATGATGATGATTTATAAGCACTATAGACATGAATGACTTACCTGTCCCAAATTTTTTAATCCAGTTTCCCTTGCAACTCTGTCTGCCGCATGATGCCCTCCCGTTATATGAACAGCAAACTGGTTGATGTATACATCTGCATGTGCACAGCTAATGCTCAATAAGATCAAGATGAATGCATTCAGCCCCGTTTGACTAATCCATGTGCTCAGAATGCCATAGTCATTTGTGCGCATTTTCTTGAAATCAACTGCCATCAGACTCTGAATTATTAAAAGGATTTACTGCATCAACAGGCAATCTCAGTGATGTTTTATATACTCGTTTTATTAACTTTAGTCTCTTCTGCTAAATTCTTACTAAAGCCATGCACAACAAAATCCATAGGCTGTCAAGATGGAGTTTTAGTCTTATTTTGTTTTAAATTTGTCAAGGTGCCTGGAAAACTTACATCTGTTGGGAAAAGATGATGACAAATCAATAAACAAACAATGTGTTTCAAAGCTGCAAAAAGTCAATACTCTAAAAAACGAAAATGGCAACAGCTGTCCAAGATCTGATACTGCTAAAAAAAAAGAATGTGAAACCTGAAATATCAAGCTATGACTTTAAATCAACCCTTATTGTTTTTTTCTTTTTCTTTTTGGTGCCATCAAATGAATCAAAGGCTTGGGGCAAATTTAAGGCTGGTAGGTTGCATGTAAAAAAGATATCCCATAACTCACTGTGGGCACCAGCTGACTCTTTCTTGGCTTTACAACCCCAAGCAAGACTACTGTTATAGACACACACCAGCCAACAATGCCAAGTTGTATAACATACAACCATTTCCTCCAAATTAGAGAAAGTTCCACTTTGAGCAAGATTCTCCCTCACAAAACTGTAGACACAATTTAGTAGGACAAATAGACAAAGGATACTACAACCAATTCGTCACTTAGTCCGGTACATAATAAATGGACGCTTGAACATATCTGTCCTTTAGTAGAACTGTTTGTTTTTTTCTTTAGTGCCCGTATTTACCCCTTTTTAGGGCAGTGTGGGACAGGATAGGGTGGGGAGATGGGGGAGGGGGGCTGTGAGGTACTGAGTCTGAGGATTTAACAGTCACAATGAGCTGTGCAGGTTAGGGTTTTATTTATGCCCTGAAGATCGATCCCAGGTCGACCACACGAGCCAAGCTCTCTAGAAACTCAACCACCTGCTTCTCTTCATTCAGTACAGTATAAAATCAATGACAAACAAGCAATTATGTAAAGACCACCTGGAAATTAAACGAGAGGCCAACCATGCAAAACATAAAAAGAAGGAATTACAGAGTCACTTGGAACCTTTATATACGAAGCACACGAGCCATGAGCACTATTCTGCATTTTATACTTCACCTCAACCCTGTAAGGTACAAAAAGATCAAGATGAGATGAGATAGCCTTACTGGGCATTTAAACCAATCTGCCACCAGTAGTGCACACATTAAACAGACAAGTAGTGCACACATTAAATAGACAACTGAATTAATCTGGCATTTAGTAGAGCATACATTAAATGAACATGCGAACTAATTTGTCATTTAGTAGATACATGAAAGGCCATAGGCCTTACGTTGGTTTCGACAGTGGTATCAATAAAGCCGACCGTCCAAAAAGCAATGACAAACTACTGGACATAAATTGCCTAGAGAAACCACACAACAGCCAGGGGCTGTTGGGGTTGGTTCTGCAACGTCCTGTAAAGGATAGGCAAATAACCAGATACATGAAAAGGACCGCTGAACCAATCTGTAATTTAAGCAGGATATGTACTATTATCGATCGGTAGGCAGGCCAAACAATTTCTTGAAGCCTCAGAGATGTGGTTTTACAGAAGAATGCTTTAAATACCTTAGACACCAAAAAGAGCAACTAAGAGGTTTTGAAAGAGGCGGGAGCCCAAAGACATCTTATCACAGACATCAGAAGGAGAGATCATTTTTCTGCTATGTTATGAGAACAGGAAAATTGAACATGTGACCACTGGAAAGAGGGATAGAGGAAGACAACAAGTGAAGATTCTTGACAGTCTCGTTGTATAGCATGGACGTGTGTCAGCAAGCACATGAACTAATACATGCTGCAGGAGATCACAGATTGTGGAGAGGCATGATCGTCCATGCCAGTCGGCAAGGCACCTGATGATGATGATGATGTAATATTATAAGAGTCCATGATTCACAACCATAAGCTGCCATAGGAAAGATGCAGGATCTCAAAATTATTACTTTAACCTGCTTGCTGGTGCTGGGCCACAGGTTCTTTGTACTGTTTCTTCATAATCATTTGTCCGAGTGATGTAATTGCGCTGTGCTTGTTTAAAGCATAACTGCCATATTTGCACCTTTTGGTGAACATGCCTGACATCATCGGGCATTTGTTCACTAGGTTAGCTTTTGTGGGGTATGATGTGGCCCTATTTGTATGGTGTCCTATTTTTCACTTTATTTAGGGGTGTTGTCCCTGGAGAACCACTCAAAGGCAACCACATATATCCTGTTTAGCCCTCAAGGGAAGGCAGATGCAGATTGTTGGCATTCCTCACCATCCAAAGAGGCTTCCATAAATGCATATACAGGATGCTCTGGTACTGGGCTCACCCAAGAGATCCTCATGTCCCACACTTAACCTCACATCCTTATGCTGAGCTTCCCACTCATCATGGACTGCACTCTTTGGGGATCGCAGGTCTAGAACTTTGAATGTCCACACAAATGGGGACAGTATTCTCCAGAACATCTGACATAGGACAGCATGCATCATGTAAGGCTTCCCTATCTGGACTAGTGTGGTCAGTGGCAGACATTTGAACCTTTCTGTCTGTCAGTTAATAGAACAATTTATGGTCAGACATCTGAAACTTATTTGTCAGACAGTAGGACATTTTGGGAGTTGGACTTTTGGTCTCGACACTCAGACGAGCGGGGCCAATGGCAGTGGACTAACCTTATTTATCACACAGCAAGTCTTTTGATGGCTGAACCTTTGGCGTAGACAAGTAGGGCCAATGCCATTGGATATTTTAACACTGCCTGTCACACAGTAAGACATCCGATGGTTGGCCATCTAAAACCAGGCTATTATGCCATAGGACATTATGATTACGGACCCTGTGAGCCTCATAAGTAATTCAGTAGGACTTCCAACCGACAGATATGTTAATCATTGTTTGTCAGTCAGCAGGCTTCACTCATGCTCCAAAAGATTTTTCTATGTCCAGTATCATCCATGCATTGGTAGGTGGGCTGATGAGAGCCAGAGGGTTTCTGGACTCTGCATCTCTGAGGGCCACTAACTCTGAAATCCCCTGCCAGCTCATTTCAGGCCCATATGAGCTATTATCCATAGGGCATGAGGGGGACGTATAGCAATTAATATGTTAATATTAGGGCTGTACCGAATATTCGCTTCGTATTCACTTCGGGGCAGAATAGTGGACCTATTGACTATTCTGTATTCGGCCGAATAGTTGCCTGTCGGGCCGAATACGAATAGTAGTTATCTTACACCCGCTTCTGCATTCACAGCCTTAATGTTGACAACATGGAATGATTGGTTTTGTTGAAAGCTAATACAGCTTTCATGCATTAACTAAGCTGTCAGTGACATTTTCCAAGTTTAATTACTTGTTATAATACTTAGGATTCTTTCATTCCTAGTTATTAGTTACCACAGACTGACTGAAGGATGCAAAACATAAAAAAATTTTATGTTTACTATTCTGTACGAATACTAACTAGACATGGAAAGAACATAAACTCCAGCCACATCCAAGTCGATAATATGAAAATCAAACGAACAGAAACATATAAGTACTTGGGTGCAAACTTCAACTGCTCCAACATGCTGAGAGAAGAACAACAATCTAGATTACAATCTAGAAATAAAGTATACTATGCCCTTCAACATCTACTAAAGTCAAAGTATCTGTTTCGCAACACCAAGATCAAAATATATAAATCATTGATAGACGAGTCGTTTTATATGGCTCTGAAACTTGAAGGAGAAATAAAAGAGATAAGGACTTATTATAGGTTTTCGAAAACAGTCTTACGACAAATCTTTGGACCCATCAAAGATGCTAACAGCGGGGAATGGAGAGTGAGAAGCAACAACGTAACACATAATCTGTTTAAATCACCACTGATCACTGGCATCATGAGAGCTAACAGACTAAAATGGTTGGGGCATATTGAAAGAATGTCAGTTGACAGAGAAGTTAAAACTGTATACACCTGAGAGAGGAATGGGCGTAGACCACCAGGCAGACAAAAAAGAAGTTCGAGAGATAATGTCCAGTCAGACCTGCAAACAACTGGTGTCACAAATTGTGATGATAAGGCCAACCAGAGAGGCGAATGGAGATGAGTGATATCTGCAGCAGTAAACCTCAAGGGCTCAGAATGCTAAAGAAGAAGATGACTATTCTGTGCTACTTTATGTGAAGTAAAAGTTCAGCGTACATTTGACATTGTCAATGTGGTGTTTTTTTTAAAGATATATTTTATACACTATACACTATTTGTATTCAGCCGAATAGTTGGTATTGTTATTCGTATTCCGTTGAATAGTCAAAATCACTATTCGGTACAGCCCTAGTTAATATGTTAATTTTAATTTCAGCTTTATAGCAAACGGTCACCCCATAGTTGCTCAGTTCCTGTGCCCAAAAAAAAACACACAGAATGTTTATCACAGTCCCTTGTGGAAAGATTTACAGACTGCTATCTCAGCATATACACTAGCATACACAAGCATTAAAAGCATACGGTAGCCATAATTATATATAGCAGTAGCGGTATAGCAGTAAGTAATCTAGCATGAGAATTCATAAAACCAGCACAGAGCCTTCTGGTGCCTGAGGTTAGGTAGGGAGCATACTCTTTTGCACATTACAACTTCCTTAATTTTTCCTGACGCCTGTGACCAAAATCACTGTGTTACCTTCATGCTGTTTAGCAATGCAGAGGCTAAACAGCATGAAGCCCCTATGCACAGCACCTGATAGCGGGTTAAGGTAAAAAATTTTAGATCACTCGTTTTATGGTTGTAAGTCATGGAATCTTTGAAGAAAATGCGGAGCTTCTGAACTGAAATGCTCTAGAAATTCTCAGAATACAACAGACCAAGGAAAAGAAAAACGAAATCCTATATGACTCGGACATATATGAGAACTGGCTCATAAACAGCATTCCTCATGAAAGCTG